ATATATATATATATATATATATATATATATAGCTTTGTTGTCTGTTTCTTTTAAAAATGTCTATACAGTTTTTATTAATTTTAGTTTTAGTTATTTAGTAGAGTTAAACTAAATGAAAATGGTTAATGTTGTCTTTACAATTACCTGAAAAAAAATAAGGTAATTATTATAATTATAAGGTAAAATATATATATATAGAGAGAGAGAGAGAGAGAGAGAGAGAGAGAGAGATATTTGCATTTAATTTGTATGTATGTTTTTAGTTTTATTTTACTGTAATAAATTTATAATACGACCATTAGTGAATCATTCTATTTTGAAGTTTTCCTAATTTAATACACAGTTTCCCATAACAATTTTTAGTTTTCTGTATTTAATATGTCCCCTAATAAGCATGTGCTTTTGGACCCCAATGTGTGTGTGTGTGTGTGTGTGTGAACACCGGCTTCTAATAAATGTAACCGTGTGTCAGTATTTAGGAATGAGGTTTGGCAGAGGGATGCAGCTCTTGGGAAGTTTGCAGTTCATTGTAGCCACAGTAAGAAAAAACTCATCATATCATCAAAACTTAAATGGAAATAAATATAATAATATTTTTAGTAATATTAAACCAATATAATAAAATGTATATGTAGAATACTGATCAATAAAGCTTTGAATATCACCTGTACATGTACTTTCAATTCCAATATTTACATTTGTATTTGCATAAAATAAGTGCACACTTTGTGTTTATACATGTTTTATATTTGTGTCTAATGGATATGTAACTCTAAGGTTGTTTGGTACTTTCTGTAGCTCCTCTACACTGGAATAGTGATCTTTGCTCCTGCAGTCATCTTGAATCAGGGTTAGTGATTTCCTCTGTTTTAAACGGAATTACTCAAAGTTTCTTGGCTTCACGTGTCTATCGTATCTCAATCCATCAAGTTGGATCCCATGTGAGTGGTTTGAAGTTGTGTTTGTTTTTGCACATTTGCAATATTCAAATCAACCTTTTTCTTCTTTTCTGAATCAAGCCACAGGTCTAAATATGTAGGCATCTCTCTTCTCAACTGGGCTCATCTGCACATTTTACACAACATTGGTAGGCCAGTGTGAAATCTTTCCAGATCTGGATTTAAATAGAAAACAGTTTTGCTCAGTAATTTGAATTTATGATTATGCCTGTGATATGACCATGTAAATGTTTGTTTGTCAACATAATGTTGTGTTTGTGTTTTCCTGCAGGGTGGTATGAAGGCTGTAATCTGGACAGATGTGTTTCAGATTGTAGTCATGCTCTCTGGGTTCATTGCAGTCCTCATTCAGGGCACCATATTGGCAGGAGGGCCTGCCAGAGTTTTGGAGATTGCCAACAATGGATCCCGCATTAATTTTAATGATTATGAACATTATAAATTGTTTTGAAATCTGTCAACTTTTCAAGTTATTAATTAAATGTTTATTAATTATTCTATTGCTCATTCTCTCTGTGTGTGTTAGTTTTGCCATAAACCCTCAGAGACGCTACTCATTCTGGAGTTTCACGGTGGGCGGCACTATGGTCTGGTTATCCATGTACGGAGCCAATCAAGCTCAAGTACAGCGTTACATATCATGCAGGACTGAGAAACAAGCCCAACTGTGAGAGAATAAATCAATAAAATCTGTCTTTTTTACCATCTAAAATAACCTTTTCAATCTTCTACATTTAGTTTTGTTTACCATTAAATTTCTCCTAAAAGTGATAACACATCACAGTTATGGTTTACAAGAACACTTACATATTTCTGTTCCCACTCACTTGAGATACTGATCCACTGAGTGTCACTCTTGTGCTGCAGGGCGCTGCTGGTTAATCAGGTGGGTCTGTGTCTGATTGTGAGCAGTGCAGCCACATGCGGCATTGTAATGTTTGCTTTATACTCCAGCTGTGACCCACTGAAGACTGGCAGAATATCTGCATCTGACCAGGTAAATTAATACATGCACAAACAGAATTACCTATACCTACACTACTAATAACTATTAAATTATTAAACTATTAAATGTGTATTTTTTGAAAGAAATTGATACTATAATTCACAATATTTGTATTAAATATATAAAAATTACAGTACAGACATTTATATCACAAATGACCATTTCTGTTAGGAAGGGAGGAATTGTTTACCCAAAAATAAAAAAATGTGCTGAATATTTACTCACTCTAAGGCCATACAAGATGTAGATGCATTTGGAGAAATTTACCATTACATCACTTGCTCACCAGTGGATCCTCTGCAATGAATGGGTGCCATCAGAATGAGAGTACACATGACTTCAGTCAATCAGTTAACGTCTTATGAAGAGAAAAGCTGCGTGTTTGTTAGAAACAAATGCATTATTAAGGTGTTTTAACTTTAAACTGATGCTTCTGGCCAAAAAACCAGTCCAAAATCCATAACTCTTTCTCCAGTGAAAACATCCATCCCCTGTTGTTCTCTCACGTCAAAATCCACCAACATATTTGTTCAGAACTGTTTTGTTTGTAAACATTGCTGTGCATATTTCTCTCCTGATTCAGACCAGATGACCTTTTCACTAGAGAAATAAATACAGTATTATGGATAGAGGACGTGTTTGAAGTTAAAAATGCCTTAAAGGAATAGTTCACCCAAAAATGAAAATTCTGTCATTAATTACTCACCCTCATGTCGTTCCAAACCCA